ATTTATATTTATATTTATATTTACATTTACATTTATATTTATATTTATATTTATATTTATATTTATATTTATATTCTTTCCAGTATGCTGTTATAAGTAATATATTTATATAAAAAAATAAGTAAATAAATGGATAAAGAAAGAGAAAATAAATATATAAATAATTAATAAATAAATAAACGTGAGAATAAATAAATAGATAAATAAATGAATAAATAAATAAATAAATAAATAAATAAGTAAACATATGAATAAATCAAGAAATAAATCACTAACCAGAAAATTAAAGTAAATAAGCCAAAAGATATAAAGATAAAAAATAAATTTGTAAATAAATAAATAAATATAAATATAGGTAAATAAATAGATAATACAAAAATAAATAGATACATCAATGAAAATTAAATAAAAAAATATTTTACTCAAGTAAACGTACTTTTACACTAATTATTTATTTATTTAACGTCCATGGCAATAGTTATATAATATTATAGTATATTTTATTATTTTTTCAATTTATCATAAATCTTTTTGCATCGCCAAAATTTTAAAATATTCACATATAAATAATGTTAAGAAATAAAATCCATAAAGCTGCTCTGAAAAAAATTAAAATTTGGGATTAATATTTATATTACCTTTACTTACAAACTAAAATCCATTGCTTGAAAACACAAAAATTAATAAACTAAGTATAATTATATATATATATATATATATATATACATATATATTAAATTTCCCATTTCGATATAGATTTCAAAACATAATTCATTTTCCTTCGGAGCCGTCAAACTGTCAATTCGCGAATCCTTAAGAAAATAAACGATTTAACGAAAACTTTAAAACTTTTCGACTTGAAACTTGAAAAGTTTCGAAGAATTTTTTAATTAAACCGATTGATATCGCGAACATGGCATTCGATTTCAAAATAAAGATTTGTCGACAATTGGAAATATATAAAATTAATTATTAGAAAGTTAACTTTCCATAACGGAAAAGTATTCAAGGATAACGATTTAAAAAAAAGTGTTTGTGTTGATAATTTATAAAATTATGCTTGTTCTTATATTCATATTTATATTAAAAGTTTAAGAAATAAATAAATAAAATTATTGAAGTTTTGAATCCAATTATGAGAAGGCGTAGTATGTGTAAAATTACTTATAAAAATTCTATTGCATACGATGGAGCAACTAATAGTTCTTTGTTAAATAAATAATGAGAAATTTATTATTTTTCTCAAAAAATAATATTTATACATATATATATATATATATATATATATATTTGAAATATTTTGCCCCTCCACCGTGAATAGAAAATTAAACAATATTTTATTATGCATCTAATTAAATATTAAAATTCCAACTTGTAATTATTATATAATTTCCAAATTTGCAAGTTTAAATAACTAATTTGTAATTTTTAAATTCTACATGTACTATGATTTAAAAAACTAACAAAACTGGCTGTTTTTTCATATAATGTATATTAAAATAAATGTTATCTTTGAAAGACTCTTGAAATAACTACAAATTGGAATTTCATACATTTAAATACAAAATATGCAAAACATAATAATATATTATATAATAAATAATTGCAGATATTTAAAAGCATTGTACGTAGAACAATATTTAATATATTTTTTATACCAAATTCCGTACGATTCAAAACTCAAATATCAAAATTGAAAAAAAAAGAGCAAAGGTAAAAATATCTACATTTTTCCCTATAACTCTACAACTGTTTCTTTTGCAATAAAATGTATAGTATATAATTATGTATATATATATTATAAATAATATGCATAATATAGTATAATTAAAGTTAGAAAATATTAAATTCTGCATACAATAATAAAAAACTTAATAATCGAATATTTTTTAAGTTGCAAGAATTTACACCTTTGCATCCAAACTTAGAGCATAAAATATTGCTTTTTCTACAATTATGAATAATATAATGTTTTTCTATTAATTATTGTTCTATGTACCAATCAACATTAATTTCATATCACCTAAAATATTTTTTTATCGAATAAGGATGAATCTATAAAGGGTTCTATAAGGATTTTTAGTGCTTTTTCTATAATTTTTCGACCAAGTGTTTTTACCTGTGCAGCAAAGCCATAAGTGTGGCAATTGGGCTACAAATGGTGCAAGACAAGACAAGACACATAGCAATATTAATAAAATGATAATATTGTGAAAAAATATTTAAAAAACATCCTGGTGTGCTAGAGAAATATTAAAATTAAACACAGAAAAAAAATTTACCACAAGAAGTGGATGTGCTAATTAGTGCTTTGTGCTATTTTTTGTTTCAAACAATTCAGCATAACATCTTATAAAATATTTTAAAAAGGTCTTGGTTAATCCAATTAGGATATTTACATGTCTAAGTATTTTTTATTATTTATCAATTATTATATATTTTTAGAATATTAATAACAGTGTTCTTTTAGAAAGATAATAATAATTTTAATCGTGGAATAATAATTTTTTATCGTGGAACATAAAAATCAGTTTTGAAGTAAAACTTCTTTAGGCGCGACTAGGGTGTAAATCGGTGCAAATGCAACGGAAGTGCGTTACGGCCGAGTCGAGTGCCAATGATTCGTCATTCGCTCTCGATGAGATCATTTCTATACGGGTCGATTGCGATGATTGCTTTGATTGTATTTTATTATAGCAAAAGTAATGAAACAAACAAACAATCTGTGCCGTGCAAGAAACGTAAGTTTATTGAATTAATTTGTATTATTCGTAGTTACTATATATTTTTGAGAATATTAAAATGGTAATTATTTTTATATGCAAGACAGATACTACAGCTGTACAAAGAATGAGAGTGTATCGCCAGCGAAAAAGTAAAAAAAAACAAGCAGTCAATTTATTTATTGGTAGTGTTAATGAAATTTCTTAAGATTGTTATATTACAGCTGTGTGAACGAATATTACAGAATTTATTAATCAGCAATTACTTCATTTCTCTAACAATGGTTCATTTCTAAATGCTAATTACAATGACAAACCGATCATGTCATATTTGAAGTATGACTTTAATTACATTATTGTTTTCAAATATTATAAATATTTTTAATGCTATTATAAATATATAATTTATAACTTTTACTAAATAAATATGAATAATGGTTAACATTAATAAATGAGTGCATCACGAGTGTTATCATATGTATCTAATAGCAAAAAAGTTCTACTTCAATCGTGTGTGAACCTTTCGCGCCCTCCTTTTTTGTTAAATTGAAATTCACTCATTACAATTTGAATTAACTTTATTTGCAGCAACGATCAAAAAAGCCAACGAGATAAAAGGAAAACTGAACTATTTGCGAAAAAAATACAATTTGTTTCGAGAGTCGTTTTGTTTACCGCGTGTACAAGTAACTAGTACTTAAATGTTAATTTTTTTAATCACTGTTTTGTTTCAAATAGTTTAAAATTAATACTTAATTCAATTTAAAATTTATATCTGAGCTTGTTTAAAAATTATCTCATAGATCTCAAATTCTAACTCAATAACAAAAATACAAAATACGAGTCGCGCCTATAAAACTCTAACCATTTTAATTACAATAAAATTTAAAATATTTTCGAATACGTCCAATTGGTAGATACAAAAAAATCAAAGTATATATTAATAAGATAAAAAAATGATGTAACCATTATTAACTCACTGTTTGTCTTCTTTATGAGAACTCTGTCTGGACCCCATAGAGCGCCTGTCTAAGCCATCTGTCACCATCGCATCTCGAACCAGGCTCTGGACCAAACTCTTATCACCTGGGGAAAAAATGTAAAATATAATCATAAATATAAATATAAATGTAAATATAATTATAAATCTTATATATAAAAATGGAGCTCTCGATCAAGTGATTCGGTAAAACTCAACAACGGCTAAACCGATTTGGCCACAGTCTTAGTCTTGAAAAATTTGTGCTAATCGGTAGGTTGTCGGAAAGGTGAAACTTTACATTTTTAATTTGAAAATTTTTGTAGAGGCGTAATTTAAATAAAACAATGGACGGTGGCTAATACGTCAAATGTCAAACGTTTTTGACAGATGATGTTCAATTACGTTTAATAGGATGTTTTACGTGAATATTAGTTAATTATGATTAAATTGTAGTAAGTAGTTTTGTTTGTAGTTTTATTTATATACAAAAACGTTAGTAAACGGGCCGCAAGTGTTACTAGACACTCAAAATATTAACTTTTTTTAAATGTTAATATGAAAATGCACTTCATGGCATATTTTTCTCAAACACGTGCTTGGAAAAATCTCATTTGTACAATTATATACTCATTGGTATTTATAAAACATTTTCTAGTACTCAATAGTATTATTTGCAATTATACACAGAATCCAGAATCCAAAAAGAATCTGAAAAACTTGAAACGTAATCAATAAGTCGAAAGACCAAAAAAGACTTGGATTGGATTATACCATGATTTCTATAGAAAGTGTATAAAACTTCCAGTTTGATTGTATTGACAAAATATAGACAAACTAATGGGGTTTATTGTTTTTATAATACCTCATTGTATATAGCATTCAAACAACACTTCCTTATTATACACTAAAAGTATTAATATTTTTGATTCTCTAGAAATTGTTTAGAATATACCTTACTAGCAAAACAAAGTTTGCCGGGTTAGCTAGTATGAATATAAATATAAAAACAAATTGAGAATGTCTAGTATTTTAAGGATATACTAGTCCTTATGTATTTTGAATACATTTGTGTAAAAAAAGTTTAAGTGTAAATTAAATTTATTTAAATAAAATTATATATTATTCACAGAGAGAACAGGACAAATTACAGAACAACCAAAATTATACATTTACTTATTTTTTCTACTTACAGAAATATCCGTCCTTATCCGTTTTCGCAGCTCTGGGTTCCTCCCTAGCTCTCGGTCTAACGCTCATCCATTTCCAACCAGGACGTCCGGCCCTGGACAAAAAGTGTAAGAGCCGTTTTTCTGGAGGGCCCAACAGACCAGGATTTAAATCCGAATCTTGTCCTGGCTGGTTGTTTGAGAATTCGCTGAAGGCAGGAGCCGAGGATGCGTATTCGCAATAAACCCTGAAGAAAAAGAGAATTGTTATTTGGAAATGAAATAAAATAAAAGGAAATATTCGTTTTTAGTGTTAATGCTATAAATAGGACGATGGTTGCATTTTATATCAATTCAGATATTTTTATTATAAATTTTAGTCATATATTTTAATTCAGCAATGCAATATATCATAAAACTAGTGGGGTGGGTGGCATCGTGCCTTAAGGCAAATTGCTGGAACTTCCCGTACCGTAACGCAATGTTCGAGGAATATTGAATGTTTTCAAATAGATTATTATAAATATTGTAACATTGTCTAATATTTATAAGAATTATATAAACTGAATTGCAAAGTTGAAATTATCCGTTTAAACTATATTAGAACTATAGTCAGAATTAAAAATAAAATCTGAATTATTTTCGAGATACAAAAATTAAAGAAAAAAAATGAAATAATATTTTTTTTCCAAAATCAATTATTTTGTTAAGACAAGCAGAAAGTTCTTTGAATCAATTGAATCGGACGCTTAGTTTTCTCAAAAACTGCCATTTTTTGTATATCTGTATCTTCGAAATGGCTGGGCCTGCCTTTGCGAAAAACTAATAACCCCTTTTCCCAATCATTACTATAATAATTGAATGTTTTTTAGATCATTCAAATCGGATGCTCCGTTCTCAAAAACTCGATTTCTATTTTCTGCACTCTTTGCTCCTTATCTCCGTAACTGCTGGACCTGCCTTTGCCAAAAACTAATCAGCACATCTCCTTATCAATAGGAATCGAATGTTTTTTAAACCATTCAAATCGGTTGATCCGTACGCCCGAAAACGTGGGCGAAAATTTGTATCCATACATACATACACACACACACATCCATTTTTCTGAAGTATGCCAAAATGTTCAGAAACCTTCAAAACGTCGAGAAATGTAAAAATTTTCAATTCCGATTTTCGGCCCATTACAATAACTTACCCTACGGGAAGTTAATAATATTAAATTCCATCATAAATATCAAATCAAACATATTTGTATATTTGCTCAGGTCTAAATTTTTGTATGACTGTAGAGAACCAAATTTAGAACTAGTGGTATATGGCATCGTGCCTTAAGGCAAATTGTTGAAACTTCCCGCACCAAAAATTACATTTTCTTTAAGAACTCTGAATAAATCGATTTTAGAGATTTTTAAAATCTTTGAAAAAAAAATTGACGTTTTTGAAAAAAATGATTTTTTAATACTTGGAAATATTTTGGAAATTTTGAACTTTTTTTCAAAGCAATCGCGATATGTTAGCTGCGTAGAAACAAAATACGGAAGCGCGTGGGCGCCGCGTCGCAGTATAACAGATGCAACAGATTGGTACGGAACTCATAGAAAAGTGAACAAAATTTGTTCTTATTATTAAAATCTTTATAAAATATGTGATAATTTGATGTGCATATGACTAATAATCATTTTTGTCCGCCAAATGGCATTTTTTAAACTTATTTTTATTGAGAGTTCATAACTGCTAAACCTGCCTTTCCCAAAATATAAACAATTCTTCATCTTTTCAATACAAGTAAAATGTTTTTTGAAATATTAAAATCTAATACTCCGTTCTCTTAAAAACTGAGTTATCATTTTTGGCACTTTTTGCCCCGTATCTTCGAAACGGCTAGACCTGCCTTCGCCAAAAACTAATCAGCCCGTCTCCTTATCAATACGAATCGAATGTTTTTTGAATTATTCAAATTGGTCGATCGGTGTTCCCGAAATCGTCGACGAAAATTTGTATCCGCACACACACATACACACATACCTCTGAAATGTAAAGATATACAAAAATTTTCATTTTCGATTTTTGCGGGAAGTTAATGAAATCATTTTTAACAAATGTACAAACACAAACAAAACAGAAGAATCACAATATGTTAACTGACCAACATAAAACATTTGACAATGCTTTTTCATCGGCTCAATAGCGCCAAATTTGCGACTACAATATGTCCCCTAACTAAGAATCCTTCTGAACGAGTCTTTATCAAAAGATACTCTATGCTCGAAATGTCAACTTGAATTTGGATTTCGGAACGACCATAACCGTGTAATGTAAATTGTTAATATAATTTGGATTGAACAGCTGGAAGATTTTCTACGACAAGTGCAAGTATATTTAGATTGATTATGATATTTGAGATATTTGAAAAGGATACCATACGCAGTGAAAATGTCTGAAGAAACAATTATGAATGATCAGAAAATTAAAATTGAGCCACTTTCAACAGAAGACATAAAATTTGAAAATGAATGTGTTGATCTTGAAGGTATTGTTAAGTCTGAATCATGTTTAGAAAATGATGAAACTTGCCTGGAAAGATTTATGAATTCCGAAGTAACTATCGAAGAAGAAATCAAACAGGAGGTAATTGAGACAGCCGATTGTGAATATGAAATTGATAATCGATCATTTTCAGAATCTAATTATTTGAAAGAGCACATGGTTGACCACATACCTAGAAATGGCAAAAATGGAAACAATAAATGCAATGTATGCGATAAGACATTTAAATATTCATCAAGTTTGCAACAGCACATGCTCACTCATATCACAGAACGCCCTATCGAATGCAAAATCTGTCATAAGATGTGGAAAGATAAAAGTGCTTTGATGAGACATATGCTTATTCATACAGGACAACGCCCTATCGAATGCAAAATCTGTCATAAGAAATGGAATGATAAAAGCGCTTTGACAAGACATATGCTTATTCATACAGGAGAACGCCCTATCGAATGCAAAATCTGTCATAAGACGATGAAAGAAAAAAGCACTTTGAAAAAACATATGCTTACTCATAGCACAGAACGCCCTATCGAATGCAAAATCTGTCATAAGAAATGGAAAGATAAAAGCTCTTTCACAAGACATATGCTTATTCATACAGGAGGACGCCCTATCGAATGCAAAATCTGTCATAAGACGTTGAAAGAAAAAAGCACTTTGAAAGGACATATGCTCATTCATACTAAAGAGCGTCTTTTCCAATGTGATACATGCAATAAGACATTTACACGAAAAGGTGATATAAAACCACACATGCTTATTCATACAGGAGAACGCCGTTTTAAATGTAAAATATGCATTAAAACATTCAAACGCACGGGTGACTTGAATAAGCACATGCGTATTCATACAGGGGAACGCCCTTTCAAATGTGATACATGCAATAAGGAATTTGCACATTCGAACAGCTTGAAGAGACACAAGGTGAATGTTCATAATGGAAAATGTGATGAAGATCAATAAAATATTAACAAGCAGAAAGCAGAAATATCTATGAATTACTTATATTTTATTTGCATTGTAAATTTAATTACTGCTGTACGAATATTTAGTACTATGAATAAATTTATTTAAATATATTTGTTTTTATATTATAAGATTCACAGATATTGTTACAAATTTTATTAAAATGCATCTTTCTTATTAAACTGTACTCAGTCGTAATATTTCAAACAAAATAAATTAAAAACAATTTTTGATCCATTAATGCCAAATTATACTGATCAATTAATAGAATAGTGCAAAACATGTTAAGCACAATCCTTAACAGATGTCAACTGGTGGATTCAAATTGCTGGAACTTCCCGTACCAAATTAAAATTTTGAAAATCCGAATTTATTTCGATATTAAAAAAAAAATTGTTTTTGGGAATAAAAAACACAATTGATATATTTTTTTTCTTTTCCCAAAACCAATCATTTCTTCAACATAAGCAGAAAGTTGTTTAAATCATTTAAATCGGATGCTCCGTTGCCTCGAAAGCTAGCATTTTTTGCACATTTATCTCTTTATCTCCAAAACGGCTCCACCTGTCTCTGCCAAAATCTAATCAGCACATCTCCCTATCAATACGGACCGAATGTTTTTTAAACCATTCAAATCCATACATACATACACACTACCTAATTTCTGAGGTATGCCAAAATGTTCAGAAACCTTCAAAACGTCGAGAAATGCAAAAATTTCCATTTTCGATTTTCGGCCCATTACTATAACTACCCTACGAGAAGTTAAAAAATAAATTGAAAAATTCACTAATTAGCAGTCAATTTTGTTTTGTAGTAGTACAACCACAATAGTAATACAACCTTTTAATATATGAAATATTTAATAAAATGAATAATAAAATTTACATACCAATCAGGATGTATGCGCCAGTTGTTTCCTTTGAAGTATTCGGTTACTAAAAATATTTAAAATAAATTAATAAACATACACAAATAAATATTTTATATATACATTTATAATGTTGTTTCGATGTTGATAAAAATATAAATAATAAAAGAATTTCTTTCTTTATTTATTTATTCATTCATAAGCAAGCCGTAATCAATGATAATAGATATTATTTCAGGCTCTTGTCAATTGAACTAGTTTCGACACTATGTTTGTGTCATCTTCAGCAAATTCTGTTAGAACTTTTCAAATTTTTTTTTGATTATAAAAATATTTTAATTTTTTATTAGATTTAAATCAAATAAATTTGAGCTTTGTTTTTCTACATATATATAAATATATATATGCAATTATAATATATCTTAATCATTTGCCTCTAAATCTTTGCCTTTTATTTGATGTATGCCCTTGAAGAACTTACTCATATTTCTCAACATCAAAACTAACTTCTTTAACATATGTATATATATATATATATATATATATATATATATGTATTTATATATATATATATATATATATATATATCAATGTCAATTTATTACCATTAATCGAGCTGTGCCTGATCTCCAGCTCGGCCCTCAACTCATACATCCCGTATCCCTCAGGAAGGGCCACTCCCAAAGAAAAAGGAGTCCCATCGACTCTTTCATAAAAATATTTATGTCTTCTGGTAGCAACTCGTCTACCAGAATCGTAAACCGTTTTGACACCAAATTCAGTCTCGCCTTCTTTCTGCTCTATCATATCTCTTCGAAGCTGAAAAGAAAAAAAAGAATTAATAAAAATACCTAGTAATGATAAAAATAGTGAAATAATAATTGATATTTGCTAAGCAAATATATTATGAATGAATTTTGAGTTAGATTGTATTAATGTACAGAAGCCAAGGAATAATAACATTTATGGATATTATAAAAATTAAAATGTGAAAATATGGAGGTTCTCTTTAGGAATACTCTTCAGGGCCTCTTTACTGTTTTGCTATTTTCATAAGTTTATCTAATGATTTTTTTTAAAAAAAAAACAGAACTAGTGGGGCGCATGGCTACGTGCCTTAAGGCAAACTCTGAAACTTCTCGTACCAAAAATATATTTTTTTTAAAAGATTAACATTTTTGAAAAAAACTTACTTCAAAATAATTAGATTTTTGAGAGCCTATAAATTTTTGACAAAAATTTCCTTTTTTTTGAAAACAAGACTTTTTGAAGAAAAATGTATTTTGAAATATTTTAGAAATTCTGAACTTTTTTTCAAAGCAATCGTACTGCATAGAGACGAAATATCGAAGCGCGTAAGCGCCGCGCCGCCGTCTAACGGATAAGCATTAGTACAGAACCCATAGCAATGTAAACAAAATTTATACTTATTGTTAAAATCTCTATAAAATATATGATAATTTGATGTGCATATGTCTAAATGATCATTTTTGACCGCCAGATGGCATTTTTTTATATTTTTTTTTACTAGATCTCCGAAACCGCTAGACCTGCCTTCATAAAAATTTGATTAGTTCTTCATCTTGTTAATACAAGTAAAATTTTTGAATAATTCAAATCGGACGCTCCGTTCTCTTAAAAACTGAGTAACCGTTTTTGGCTCTTTTTGCCTCATATCTTCGGAATAGATAGACCTGCCCCCGCCAAAAACTAATCAGCACGTCTCATTATCAATACGAATCGAATGTTTTTTGAATTATTCAAATCGCTTCATCCGTGTTCCCGAAATCGTCGACGAAAATTTGTATCCGCACACACATACACACACACAGACACACATACATCAATTTTTTCTAAGGTATGCCAAAATATTCAGAAACCTCTGACACGTAAAGATATATAAAAATTTTCATTTTCGATTTTTTGCGATTACTATAACTTACCCTACGGGAAGTTAATAATCACGTGTTCTTAATAAATAAATTTAACTTACATCTAAAAGAGCACTGTGGTTCTCTCGAGGACTGTTCTCACTTTCAGGTAACTCCACTTCGGTCAAATCAACCGATGTGTAAGTTGGTTTCAGAGTTTCCAAATACTGTAAAAAAATTTAATTACATTATATGAAATATAATATTATTTATATTACAAACATGAGGCAGAAATGTACAAGATTTATTCAGAAATATAAATTTAAATTTTGTCTAAAACATAAATAGCAATTAGTATTAATATTTTAAATTTATACATTAGTAAAATTTATATTGCATGAAGTGTTTGAAGTGAATGAAATTTAAAGAGATTTAAAAGTATAAATTACCATACCTTATTTTTACCAAGCTGCATCCACGAATAAAAAATAGAATATTATTTAATTTTCTTAATAATATCACCAATATAATATATTAATATATTTACCAGTGGATTGAGTCCAGGATGGTACAACACGTGTCCATTATTATTGACAATAAATGAATAACCGTTCACACCCAACTGTAAAAAAAATATATTTGTAAAAAAATTAATAAAATACAGATAAATAAATAAATGATTAATTTAATAATAAATTTACCTTATATTCTGGTGCTAGTTTCTTTATTTGATCCACTGGTACATCAGTACCAGCCACTCCTAACAAATTGGCCACTCTTACCTAGAAATAATAATTTATATATTATAAAACTATATTTATTATATATATATATATATATATATATATATATATATGAATAGATATATATAAATCTACTTACAGTGTGATTTCTCCTGTCGAATACTGGTGTACTCACAGATGTCATCAATCTATGAGAACCATCTTCGTTCTACAAGAGATACAAAACACATGTTACATTTATTTTAATTTTTTTTTCCATACAAGTAAAATTAAATAAATATGTAATTATATTCAGATTTATTATCAAACTGACCTGTCCAGCGACAAAAACTGGGGACCACTGTATAGGATGATCATTCTGATACATAACCATCGGCCTGGCCATTACTGATATAAAATCCAACACTTTAGAAGGAGCTTCTTCTGGTGTTGAAATTCTGGCATAAAAACCTAAAAAATGTTTTAATTGCTTATAATTGATTCGATAGAGAAACCATATCTAATAATAAGAATGTTTTAAAATAACACAATAAAAATGTTGTATCTAGTTTTCTATAGAAAATGTTTTTGTATATTATATATTTTTGGATATGAATAAAAAATGTAGCTCATTCAGCATATATTCAACAAATTTGAAGAACTATAAAATTTTAGAAATAGTTATAACTAACTTTGACTTTGGGAAAATATTCTGTAAATTCAGTTTCTAATAACTTTATATCAACATTGAATTAAAATAATTATTGATTTATTTTATGTATATATATATATATATATATATACATATAAAATATATATATATATATATATATATATATTATATTTTATTACCTTTATTGCTGCAGGCCATCCAATGCATTTCAGCCCTCGTAGTTTTATCTTTGCCAACATCGTAAGCAAAAACACGTACTGGCATGTGTGGCCAATTATGTTTCTGGAACACATGTCGAGGGGCCACTTGTACATCAGATGATACCAAAGTTATCGCTTGGTTGCATTGGCAACCTGCTCCTGTTCGATTGTACTAAAAAGAAAAATAAATATAAATATAAAAGAAATTTATATAGTAGATTGTAAAATTCTTATAAATTAGTAACACAAATTATAGTGTACTATAAAAATATTTCTTATCATATAAAGTAGTATTTATAAAAGTTATTATATAATATACAGAAATAAGTGTTAACAAAGTGATGTGAGGTTTACTTTACTGTTTTCTTCAATAGGATAAATCATTTGATAGAATAGATAAAATACAATTCATATGCCCGAATAACGTTTTTATTTATTTAGGCAATATTATAATCAATATAAGTTATATTCTATTATTATGTGTTAATAATCTTTGTTTTCCTAATAGTTTCATAAATAGTCCATCAGAATTTTCATTCATCTTGTAGATTTAAAGAGGGTTGATTTTTTAAGCTCTTTTATATTGAACCAGGTAACCATTTTTAAATAATATAAACGTAAAAATTGTCTATTTTTACCCTGTACAGTATGTCGAAGCCAAAATCCAAAGCTTTTGTCAAGTTGACATTTTTGCTCGTCAAATCTGACCATTGATCTTTTGGTCCGTTTAAGGCATTCAGGATGACCCTTTTGTTATCTGCATGAGCAGATACTAGACCTCCTCCTAAACACTAGAATAAACAAAATAGAAGGTCAAAACTATGATTTTATTACATTTCATCTTTTTATATTGGTACATTAATCTATATGTATATATGTAGGTTTAAATGTTTGCATTGTTAAATAGGTTAGAGAATGAACTATTTGCAAAAATATTAACTGTGACTTCTTACTCGCACACCACACACAATGTGAATGACTAACAAATAAAATACAGTGTGTATGCACATATATTTTAATAAAAGAAAGTAGTAATAATCTTCCTCAAGATCTCCATTCTTAGATGCTTTGATCATAAAATTTTCATCAAAACAGAACAGCAAGTTACACCAAATGTATTTATTTGGTTTATTACTTATAAGTGTTATTTATTACCGTGGCTACCGGCCTGATGTCCCCAGAATAAGCAAAAACGTTCACAAAATCATCATCGCCAAGAGAGTCTAAAATGGCGGTGACAGTTGCACCGGACGAAGTCCCTTGCGTCACTTTATGCGAAGTGACATCCAATAAAATGACCACGTCTTTTGGAGACGTTGCTGCATCAATATACCACCTGGATAAAAGACAATTGTATAAACAAATTAGAACAAATATATAATAATAAATATATAAACTTTATATAATATAAATATTTAATTGTTCAGTGTTTAAATTCAGTTAAAATATAAACTTTTCACGCGTACAACTTCACGCGAAACAACTTCACGTACGATTAATGCTGGTGCTCATGTAAAGATTCCGATGTGAAGATGGTTGTGTTGACAGTTGAAAAATACTAATTATAAAATCATATTAATAATAATAATTTTACTTGTTGTCCGTTTCAGGACAGTTGTAAAAATTATTAAAATAATAAAAAAAAAAAAAAAATATTAATAATAACATATAATCAATAGTATTTAGTTAAAATAGATAAATTGATTATTAATATATAATAACAAAAAATCAAATGTTCAATATTTAAATTAAATTAAAAATTTATAAACCAAACAACTTCATGCGTATGATTTATGTTGCGTATGGTCCTAGACAATATAATAATATAATAATGCGTATGGTTGTGTTGTGTTGACAGTTGCACAAATACAAGTTATAAAATAACTTTTATTTATTTACTAGTTTTTTTTAATAGTTATTAATGTAATATAAGTAGAATGTGTTGTGCGTTAATCACTCTAAATCCACGGTGCTAAAATGAAAAGCTTGGTGTGTGTATTGAAAGGATATTACTGGTTATCAAAACATAATGAAAGTAAGCGTATAAGTTTTATATTTTATAGTTTTTAATATAATTTAAAATATATTATGTAGATAGTTTTCACCTATGATTTTCACAATTAGATTGTATTAATTGTATAACATTTAGATTGTAAGTTTATTAAACTTGGTTTTTATATATTTATACACTATATAGAAAAGTTAACCAAAAAGATCAATGAATATATAGAGAGGTTATAAACTCATATTTATTTTGTAGATACTAAATTTCAAAAAAACCCAATCAAATTAAATGTTTAAATCTAAGAGTTATTTCCATCTAGGAAACTGTTTTATTTGATGGATCATTTGAAGCAATAAAATTGATTTACTCGATGAATCAATTCAATTGAGCAATTTTTTTTATCAGATACTCATAAATTTCAATAAATACTTAATGAATATACAACATAAAGACAATACTAAAATTAAAGTATTATTATCAAACGTAGTATTAAACCTGATAATTTATTGAAATAAAATATTTTGCAAGTTAGTATCATAGTCTGACTTCGATTGAACATTCTATACAGTCGAGTTATTGTAAGACAATAAAAGCTTGACTTCATTTAGAGAATACCCTTAATATATAGATATTGATAAATTATGGATAATTTTGAAAGTTTTAATTAGATATATTATATAGCAAAATATCTAAAAAACTAACAAATATTTATAAATATAGAGTAAAAATTAGATTTCAAATAAATTATAGAATTTAGATATTAATTTTCTATACATATATATATATATATATATATATATATATATATCTTGGGTCTTTTATATATCAAGTTTATATTTTCTCAAATCGAACAATATATCAGTTACCTATAATATACTCGAATGATATAATGTATGTTGTTTTCAATTAAAATTTTTACTGTTTAAGATAAGTATATATGTTACAACTTGTAAAACAAACTCCAATCGAATAACATGTTTTTATGAGAAGTGCCTTTTCTTGGAAAAATATTATTTTATTTTTCTAATATTTATTAAAAATTATCATATAACTTGATGTTATATCAATTGGTGTTCATACCTTTTTGGGTGTTTTTTTTTTCTTCAATTTATTTGTATGCACTGAAGATGGGTCGAATCAGGACCCGAAACATATGATATTAATTACCTGGTAGATCGATAATCCTTTATCCCTGATTCCCCTTTTCCATCCATCGTGGAACTTCTTTCGGAAGCAGGATACCTCCTTAGGGCTCCTGCAGAAGTGCCTAGATATTGCCAAGAAAGTGCAGGGTCGGTTTCGTAGTTGCTCGCAAAAAGGGGCTCTAGATGACTCGACCACCTTATTGCTGTTTGAACAGCCGGATCTAGAAAAAATATAACAAATTAATATTTAATAATATTTAATTTAATAAACTGAATATATTTTATATATACACTAAAGGCAATAAATACATTAAACAAATATATAAAATATATAAAAATTAATTCTCAAAAACGTTGTATGTTGCATGTTCTCAAAAACACATTTTGCGATTTTTATGAAACTTGGCGCACATTGTTATTGCACCTTACCAAAAATGTGACCAAAATTCAAAGTTGGTACATTCAATGGTTTTCGAGATTTGCACGGTTGATGGATCGCTGGCTCCGCGCCCAATACTAACATTTAAATTAAACAGATGGTATGTTCTCAAAAAAACATATTGCGATTTTGATGAAACTTGGCACATATTGTTATTGTACCTTACAAAAAATATGACCAAAATTTGAAGTTGAAACTTTCAATGGTTTTCGAGATATGCGTGGTTGATGGGTCGCTGGCTCTGCGCTCAATACTAATAATATTTAAAAAGATATTGCACTAAAACGCATATTGCAATTTTGATGAAACTTGGCACTTGGCACATATTGTTACTCTACTTCACCAAAAGTAAGTTGGAACAGATTCTAATAAGATAAAATAGATATTTTTATTTTATTTTTTATTATTTAATTTTCTCTATTTCTCCAAATTAAAGTATAAGGCAACAGTGGTTGAAAACAAGAGATCCTGACAAATTATTTTTAATACCTACCATTATATTTCTTTGAATTAATATAGCAACGCTCTATTACAAAATAAGTTGTTTTATCAAAAGTTTCATCAACATTTCTTTAAAATAAAAATTGTATAAAATAAACTTATATTTCTACTTACCGTCACGTGCAACGTCATTTGCCATCAAAATTTCGCTCTTCGTGACGTTTATTTTCATATTATCAAAATGTTCTGAAAATTGCCACTGGCTGGTAGCTGGACTGCTTTCTGATTCTGTTAAAAGTAAAAAAAAAATATACATATATACATATATATACTAGCTGACCCGGCAAATTTTGTTCCGTTATAAAAATTGTTTCTGGGAAAATTCCTAATAAATTGCTTTTTGCAGTTTTTTTGTAAGCTAGAGAAAATCCATATAGAAAAATTTACAAGACAATAATTTATCAGTTATAAAGTGGGATGAAAAAATGCTATTACAAAACAGAAAATTGTGGTAGGAAGATGAAAATTTAGGGTTGCACCACACACAGTTCAGCATTATAAAAAATAACAAAAATTATTCAAAAAATATTAAAAAACATAGAGATAGGAGAGAGACCCTCACTTATTTTCTTTTGCAGAAAGATTTAAGTTTTTCCAAAAGCTACAGAAAATCTTAAAAATAAATCAGTGAAAATATTATTACTATTACTATCGCGATTAGGGGGCGTCCATTAATCACGTGTGGATTTTACGGGGAGGGGGGGATTTTGACAAAAAATCACAAAATATCACGTGAGGGAGGGATTTTTTAATTTCTAACTTTAAAAAAAGATCAAAAACTTTACAATTTTTTCTCGTAACTAAAAATACACGTGGAGGAGCAAGTGTAATTTTGATTATCACCACAAATCACCAAAAGGAAGGGGGTTTAAAATACTTAAAAATCGATCACGTGATTAATGGATGCCTATAATAAAATGATTCTTATATAAAATTATTCAAAATGCAGAAATGAACAAGGTGCTGTATCATCTACATATATATAAAAATAAGTCGAGTTTTCCTTCCTGACCAGAACGCACCTGACCATCGACGATTTTGCATTCGTTGGAAAGGTCTCGGAATCCGTGAGGTTTGTAGCTAAGAAAATTAGTGGTGCATGGCATCGTGCCTTAATGCAAATTGCTGGAACTTCACGCACCGTAATTAAAAATTCGAGCAATGACATTAGTGAGAATTATCAGAATTATGCTTGGTTAAGCCAACGAGCAATTCTTGCCGCAAAGAATAATGATGTACACGCACTAAATTTCACCATTCAATCAAATATTGCTGACGATTTAGTGACATACCAATGATTCCGACTGGTCTTTCGTTTGACTTCAAACGATTGCAATTTCCAGTTCGCCTTGCGTTCGCAATGGCAATTAACAAGTCGCAAGGCCAATCGCTTAGTGTTTGCGGGATAAATTTCAAATAGATTATTTAGAAAATCATTGTTTTTTACATGGGCATTCATACGTTGCCTGTTCACGAGTTGGAAAACCATCCGCTTTGTTTGTGTTAACGTCAGACCAAAAAACAAAAAATGTGGTTTACGAAAGAGCACTTCAATGAAACGGATAATTTGCGGATTCACTTTCATTTACTTAGAGAAGTTCAACTAGAAAACACTTTATTTTTGTAATCGAAATAAATTCATTACTGTTGTGTAATAAAATCAAATTTTTCCTTTTCAAATATGAAACAAACAAAAAATTTCATCTTTCTCACGAAACCATCTGGTGGCGAAACGGAGTTCGTCGGGTTTGCTGGTTCTATATATAAGAAGAAGTGTAAGAAGTAAACTTTTGTCTATTATTTTTTACCATAATAGTCGTCGTCCAGGCCGTCCTCGTCGTTCGATCGCTTCCTCCTCGTCCGATGATCCTGCTCCTTTCGATATTTACTTTGGACTTTGCTACTGGTGCTGGTGCTGGTGCTGATATATGAAACATCGTTTGTGGCTCGTTTTGGGCGCGATCTGATCGCTTGTGCGTTGTCTGATTGGTCGAGGGAAGATAAGGCCGCTTGTTCTGCTGAATCCATTATTCGCTGAAAAATAGATAGATGTCATTTATTTATTTATTAATTTTACAAGCCGTCGGTATAATAATATTATAATAAAGCTTAAGTCAATATTTTATAGATTTAATATAATTTAATTAATTATTAGCTATTTTATTACTTATTTATTTATTATTTACTTTATGTACTATAAACTTATTTATATTTAGTTAATTTTAATTATTTTTAAATGTAACTAGTTTGTTTGTTGCAAGTATTTTTTTAAAAATTTAATAAGTATTTCAACAAGCTTTACAATACTTTTACAATATAATTATTTTATTTAACAAATATTAGGTTATTTTATATATTTTAATAAATTTATGTACTTTATATTATTGTAATTATTATTATTATTACTATTAATAATATTATCATTATCATTTATATTATTATTGTTAAGTATTTTTACAATATAAGTTGTTTTTCTTTTACGAATTTTTAGGTATTTTAATGAAGGAAATATTTTGTTTCACAACTTTTAAGTATTTTTAAAATATAAGTGTTTGGTTAACTAATTATTAAGTATTTTAACAATAACAGCCATATAAAAAAATAAAATGCTGTTTCACAATTTTTAAGTATTTTTAATTATAAGTTTTTAGTTAACTAATTATTAAGTATTTTAACAATAACAGTCATATGAAAATCATATATATAAATATAAACATTTGATCAACATCGTAATAATTTAGATTAACAGAACGTGCTTTATAATTATAAACTTCTTGTAGGGTAGTTATAGTAATGAGCCGAAAATCGAAAACAAAAATTTTTGCATTTCTCGAAGTTTTGAAGGTTTCTGAACATTTTGGCAGACCTCAGAAAAATCGATGTGTGTGTGTGTTTTGTATGTCCGCATTTTATCATCCACGTTTTCGGGCGCACGGATCAAACATTCGATTTCTATTAATAGAGAGATGTGCTGATTAGTTTTTGGCAAAGGCAGGTCCAGCTGTTACGGAGATACGGAGCAAAGAGTGCAGAAAATACAAATCGAGTTTTTGAGAGAACTGAGTATCGGATTTGAATGATCTAAAAAACATTCAATTTGTAATGATTGCGAGAAGAGGTGATTAGTTTTTGGCAAAAGACAGGTCCCGCTATTTCGAAGATATAGAGCTAAATGTGCGAAAAATGGCAGTTTTTAAGAGAACTAAGCGTCCGATTTTAATAATCTAAAAAACTTTCTGCTTGTATTGACAAAACAATTGCTTTTGAGGATAAATAATTATTACATCTTTTTTTATTATATTTACATTACATTATAAATATAATTATAATGTACATTATAATGTACATTATACTTTGGATCCAAAATTCAAAAAATTACCCAGGCTAAGCACAGTCTAAGCGCATTCCTTGTACAAATATTTACTGAAGTGCGTTTAGACTGTTTATGTGGAGCACTTTTCCAATTTTGTGAAAACTATTGAATGAAAATGTGAAAATGCCGCCAAGATAAGCACAGTATAAGTGAAAATGTCGCACAAAATTATTTACAAATGCTTAGACTGTGACTATACGGGAGCACTTTTTCAATTTTGTGTAAATTAGACAACTATTTTTTTTTTAAATTGAATTCAAAATGAAATGACGATTGTTAATGTTCTGGAGATAAATTGATTTATGATTTAAATTTGTTTTGCTCATACCTCAGATATATAAAGATATGAATAATAATGAAAGTTACACTATTTGTAGTAATATATTTGAAAACGTTTAAAATTTCTCGAACATTTCATTACGATACGGAAAGTTCCAGCAATTTGCCTTAAGGCACGATGCCATACACCACTAGTAATTCTATTAATTTTGTGTATCCTATAAACTATTGCTGCCTCCTATATTTTCCTCTATGCGTGTATTAAAACCGTTAGTGAGCGAGAGGTGGCGCTCATCTCCCACCTCGCTCATCATCTTAACTCCGAAAGGGGGGGCTTAATAGAACGATGGGGCGCCCATGGTGATCCCCCGACGTATGTGCAGAGGTGGAGGGTTGAATATCGATTCGACGGAATACTCTCTCTCCGCCGTAGCCGTAGCCGTAGCCGTCGCGACATTTTCTCTCAAGACGGCGACGTCGCTTTGTTAAGGCGACCGCATTCTAGAGTTCTAGTGCTCTAGGATGCTTTGTAGACAAACAGATTTATATATGTATAATGTATATATATATATATATATATATATATATATATCCAATTACAATATTATTTGGATTGTAACCTAGTATCAGAATCTAGAAAAAAGACTTAGAACAAAAATGAAAGCATATTCTTCTCGAGAAGGCGGGAAAAAAGTACACTTGAAAGCCGAGATACAAGACCAAATTTTAGAAAAACTAACCATAAACAAGAAAGATTAAAAATGTGGATAGTTATAGTAATGGGCCAAAAATCGAAAATGAAAATTTTTGCATTTCTCGACGTTTTGAAGGTTTCTGAACATTTTACTGGCATACCTCAGAAACTAAATAGATGTGTGTGTGCGTGTTTTGTATGTCCGCATTTTTTGTCCACGTTTTCGGGCGCACGGATCAACCGACTTCAATGGTTCAAAAAACATTCGATTCCTATTGATAGGGAGATGTGCTGATTAGTTTTTGGCAAAGGCAGGTCCAGTCGTTACGGAGATATAGAGCAAAGAGTGCAGAAAATAGAAATCGAGTTTTTGAGATAACGGATCATCCGATTTGTATGATCCAAAATACATTCAGTTCGTAATGATGGGGAAAAGTGGTTATTAGTTTTTGGCAAAGGTAGTCCCAGCGGTTTCGGAGATACAGAGCTATATGTTGAAAAAACAGCTGTTTTTGAGAGAACTAAGCGTCCGATTTAAATGATTTAAAGAACTTTCTGCTTGTTTCAACAAAATAATTGCTTTTGGAAAAAAAAAATTTGTTTCTATTTTTTTTTCAATATTAATTAAGTAATTTTGGATTAAAAATTCAAAAAATGACCCAGGCTAAGCACAGTCTAAGCGCCACTCTGGTACAAATGTTTACCCAAGTGCGTTTAGACTGTTTATGTAATGAAGCACTTTTCCAATTTTGTGAAAATTATTGAAAAATGTGAAAAGGCCGCCAAGCTAAGCACAGTATAAGTGAAAATGTCGCACAGAATTATTTGCAAATGCGTTTAGAAATTGAATTCGAAATGAAATGACGATTGTTAATATTCTGGAAATAAATTGATTTATGATTCACATTTGATTTTGATTGCTCAGATATAACAAAATAGCAAAAATTATGAAAGTTACAGTATTTGTAATAATATATTTGAAAACGTTTAAAATTTCTCGAATATTTCATTACGATACGGGAAGTTCCAGCAATTTGCCTTAAGGCACGATGCCATACACCACTAGTTTATACTTTGAATCTGTAATTGTAAATAACATTTCTAGGGCCACAGTCCAAAATAATGATTCAATTACCTCAAGGTTCAAAAATTAAGCCCTTTTGTTGAACAATTTTAAAATTATTTAAATCGATCAACTTTGAGAGGCCCTCCTTTAAAAAAATATTCTAAAGTATGTTAGCAAGTTTTAACAAAAATTAAAGAATTTAATCAGGATTGTAAATTAGTACCATACATGATAGTTTCATAATAAAAATATTTGGTTAACAAATAAAAACCGAAAAGTAACACAACATTTGCTAATGTTAGTTTTATGTACTCGTATATGCAATGGTTCTTCAGATGATAAAAGCTATGTAAAAGTAAACAACAAAGTTTTAATTCAGACATCCATCTAATTATTAAAATGGAAATGCTAAGATATGTTTGATTGGACCATATATAAATATTATTATGTTGATATACATTTTGCTTAATTTATTTACAAATTATACTCTGGAAACGTTTGTAACTCTAACATCGTTTAATAAAATAGAATATATATATATATATATATATATATATATATATATATATATATATATATATATATATATATATATATATATATATATATATATATATATATATATATATGTATATCTTAATTAACTCTGTACAAAGTTAATTACTCAATGAAAGCAAAAGAAACCCAATGAATGAGCGAAACCTTACATTTTCCAATTAAAATATGTTTATGCAATTTCCATTGCAAATACACTCTCTGTGGTATTTATCAAATATACAAACATGCAGCAATTAATTAAACATATATTTACATTATACAATGTATATATATATAAACAGACATTCACATATATATTATACATGTTTAAAGTATGTATATATAAAGGACTTGTCACGACGTTTGTCCCAAATAATCTCATGAACTACTGAACTGATTTTAAATTTGATTTGCTTAACAATTGTAAAAATCTCTATTCACACAAAATAAAGAACCAAGCTTCAGTTATTATTTATAATGCTTTAGTTGGAAGTAAATTACACTATTTGTTGAATGTAATTGTATTGTATTTTTGTATTATTGACAAATTGTAAGTAACAAATGCGTACAGATTTGCGATCGTGTAAATTGATCATTTTTATGTCATATTATGGTATACTGTCATTTGGCGTAAACATTCTCCCGGGCTTGAAATTATGTGGAATATATGACTTTAAAATATATGATATTGGAAAAAAATAGAGTGAAATGTCAGTCATAAATATCAAAATCTAGATATTTTAAACGGAATAAAACATAATTATATTGTGAAGAGTGGTGTGTTCACCCAAACAATATTATTAACTAGCTGCAAGTGGTATTTTTTACCTTAAAGCAAGTTGCATGGACATCCCTATACCTATTAATATTCGACTTAATAAATTGAGATTTCTATTTCCATAAAAAAATTATTTAATTATTGCGAAAAATATTTTTATTAAAAACGTGTAAAAAAGTGTATGGCAAATTGCTACAACTTAACTGAATTACAAAATTTAAATTAATTATTTAAAGTATGTAAGTGAGCTTTAGAACTTTAGACAGAATTAAAATTAAAATCTCAATTATTTTTGATATACAAAAAAATTAAATAAAAATTGAAACAGATTTTTTTTAAAGCAATTATTTTGTTGTAAACAAGAAAACAGTTTTTGAATCATTCAAATCGGATGCTTAGTTCTCTCAAAAACTGCCATTTTTTAACATTGAGCTCTGTATCTCCGAAACCGCTGGTCCTACCTTTGCCAAAAACTAATAACCACTTCTCCCTTACGGGAAGTTAATAAAATAACCACAATAACCAAAAAACAGTCACAATTTCACCAAAATTCTTAAAAGCTCATAATTCCAAGCAACTTGAGATAACATTTTTTTTCCTATTTAGTTATAAACAATACTAACAAGTGGGATTTTAGAAATTTTTGAACCCCCTTGGTGATACTTCGTAATATTTAGAATTACCCTCACCTTTTCCACCAAAAGTTGCTTGTATTTTTAATAACGTAAAATTTTCCGAGAAAACGTTGAATTTTGTTTTTTTTTGACAATTCAGGTAAAAATCTAACTAGACCCCTTCTTCCCCCACGTGATTTTTTGTCAAACACCCCCTAAAAGCCCCACGTGATTAATGGACGCCCCCAACCTGTTTTAGCTTTACGTTGAGTTCTGGGACACCCTGTATATATATAAATTTGTATACATAAGTATATATATTATTATGTATGAATTCCACCATAAGTTTGATAAAATCAAAAAAGCCTTTGAATTTATCGCCTCTCCTCGCCTCGCCAGAAAGCAAAACAGAGAGGAGCGTGTAATTAAATCACGATTTATGTTGACAGAGAGTAAACAACAAAGGCAAAGGAGGGACGCCCTTTCGTCCCTCTCCGCATTATTCGTATGAATACACGACACATAAATATTAATAATATTAATTTATAATATATACACACATTTATTATATACACATATAATCAGCAGATTGGTAGTAAAGAATTCTAGCTTGTTATTAAAAAATTTAATATGACTTTTTGTGAGATCCATAAACGTTTGGGAAGAGTAATCAAGGTCATTGATTTTGTTTTAAAGCTTGAGAAAAATCTTTGTTAAACTTTATAAATAATTTCGTGATTTGACAATTTATCGAAAAAAAATTCAAGTAATCTGTAAATTAAGTAACTTCTCCCAGTGTAAAAGAGTAATGAAATGTATAACGCTTTTAATAGTATATTGAAAGAATAATTTCTATTATATTATATTTATATATTTAATTACCTTTACGGCGCTCATTTTAAAGTCCATCATGTTTTTAACCTCCGAAGCCATTTCTCTTATTAAAATCAATCCATCTTTTCGAACAACTTCTAAAGGGTCGTCGTGGTACTTCTAAATAAAATAATTAAAAAAATTAATAAATTAACCATGCTTTGTATTAGACAAGATTATATCCAATTCTTGAATACAATTTGCAAATATTAAATAAAGTTTATATATCCAAAAATTATTAACGACCAATAAGATATTTATTTATGTTTCATTAATTTAGTGAAACTTATGCAAATTATAATGTTCAATCATTTAAATTGGTGTCATAGAATTGAATATTATGTTAAATATATTGTGAAAATATTTAATTGAATTTATTTTTATCACTTTAATAATATTTTTAAAGCTTACCCTTTGAATTTCGTTCATTTTCGTAAACTGCCTTCCAAATTCCCACAAATCGACGCCAAATTTTAGCGCCCAATTTTTCACCCTGAAAAATAGAAAAATATGTTAGTATTTACCATAAATAATATATCTGTTCATCTAAAATAATACATAATTTCATTATTGTATTATTAAAAACAAAGTAGCTTCATTAATTTAACACAATTCATTTAAAAACACAAATATTATTATTAATGTTTTTTTTGCTTTTAATTTTTTAACTGTTGTTATTTATACAACATAATTTTTTAGTATTAATTATTAATTTGATAAATTTTTAGTCATTTCTTATTAATTTATTAATTATTTTTATTTGTGCTCATTTAAAACTATTGAAATCACTTTTTTATCTGTTTTAGTTTAATTTGTTATTAATTGTAGATATTATTTTTTTATTTATTTTATTATATTACTCATGAAAGAAAGTGACGTTAATATTTATTTTCTTATAAAATATAAATAAATAATTTCATATGACATAAATTTATATTATATACTAATTCTATTTCTATTTTATTTTAGATACTATTTTTACTTATATTAATGAAATATAAGAAATTTAATTTTCAAAATAATAATAATAATAATATATACATGCACATCGAATTAAATAAAAACAATTTATTTTGACAATAATAAAAATATTTTAGAATCCATTTAGGTAATTTAAAATGACTAAATATACGCAATTGCTTAAGTTTCTTATTCAACTTAAAAATTAAAATTAGTATAAGTAGTTCCATACATTATAATTTATGGAATATATATTTCCATAAAAGATTCCCGAATTTTGGTTCATATGTAAAAAATATATTTCACTCATAAAACGCGATACAAATTTTCAAGACTGATTTTTTTATATAAGTGGTATTCAATAGTTTTTAATTTTTAATTTTTAATAACCCATAAGTTATTTCCATTGTAATATTTATAGAAATATATTACATTATTAATAGGAAAGAAAATATTAAAGCAAATTGTTATATATATGCATAAATAAATTTTTTTCATTAAATTCCGCGAACCACCTACGAACCACCTACATAAGGTTAAAAATTTCATTTGCAATATTTTAGGACTAAATTGATTTTCACAATATCTTTAATAACTTTTTTTTTAAATATTTTATAATATATAAATTTTAATCCTACGTTGATTTAACAAATTTTGCTATAAAATTAATAAAATATAAGCAAACTATTTACCTAATTCTTTAACTAATAAAAAATAAGTGAGATTTTTCATGCAAACCGAGCAAAATTAATATTTTAAAATTTAATTTAAATTCAATTAAATTTTTTATGATCACAAGCAAGTAGTAAATTTTACTAAAAACGTAGATAAATCACATAAAATAACCAAATTTATATTTAATTTATTACAAAAAGTATATTTAGTTTTATAATGATACTATATAAAACAAAGAATTCTTTCACATTGTTCTAAAAAAAGTTTTAATTCAAAACCTTGAGTTTTCGGATCCATAAAATAATTTAAATTTTATTTACGTGAGTTTCAAATTTATTCTGTTTTATTCCACGGAATTTGAAATTACAATTTTATGATGTAATTTAGTACCCCTTCTATATATACATGTAAATTAATTTTATTATATCTGATTTAAAAATACGGATAACTTTTTTTATGCAACATGCACTTAAAATTTTGTATTAAAATTAAAAATATATTTGATTAAATAAATTTTCATTTATTATATATAATGTCATTTTTCAATAGAAGCATTGTTGAAGAAAGGTTTACTCAAAAATAAAAATTTATGTTTATTCCATAATTTGAAAAACAATTTTTTTCATTTGACAATAAATGTATTTACAACAGTTTTTATTTACACATTTTAATTTCAATTGACGACACTGAATAAAGTATATTTTTATTTTAATTAAAAAACAGTAATTAATGCAAATTGATAAATCCATTGCAGCAATTACTTATAATTAATAAACATTTGAGTTTATTTAATGGGTAAATTAAAAAAAGTTCGTGGTTTAATTTTGTATTTAATTCATTACTATGTTACAAATTATTGTAACAAAAAGCTGAACCGAATAATTAATTAAAATTAATTTAAATATTTTTTAGAACACCTTAAAATAAACGTTCCAAAACTCGTAAAAATTCCTAAATTAGTGAAAAATACAGAAATAATATTTAAAATTTATAGACTGAACAAAATCAGTGAACCACTATTTTGCAAAAAGCATTTTCAATCCTATATTTTTAAATTTATTGAAATAGTTTTATAATGTCGTTTTCTATATTACTTCACTTATTATTTATACAGGAAAATATTAATAATTTAATTTTAAGCAATTGTCTTAAAGACATCATTCATTTTAAACGATTGATTTTAAGTTATAAAACATAAATAGCTAAAAGAACGCAATATTTGGTGTCAAAATAAGATTTAATATTAAATTTTAATATTTTGATTTAATAGTGTACCGAGTTATATTCATTTATTGTAATTATCATAGTATTTATTTAAATCAAGAATAGTTTAAGATTTTTTATATAATAAAATTAAGAAGTAATTTGATGGTTAATAAAATAAATGCACTCTTAGCGTAACCAAGATAATTTTATATTTACAGTGGTAATTTTATAGAGTTAAAACAAAAGGTTATAATTTGATTACAAATAGTCAAAACGTACATGTTCTAAATTCAAAAAAATATAAACGATTGAGAACTCTTTTTACAAACAATTATAATTAATTTACAATGTTACAATTTCATACGACTTAAGACATGTTTCAGAAATTTTTAAAAGTAAAAAACTGTTTAAAAAGTACAGCAGGTAAATATAGATTATAATTTATTACAAATTATAAATCTGCAAAAATTTTCATTTAAAAAAAATATAAAATCGAAAGCACTTGTATCACTAATAATAAACCAAATTTACTTAGAATAATTGAAAAATAATTTAAGGTAAAGAAAACAATAAGGTATTTATTTCACAAAATTGTAATTCCTTTGTGTATTGTGCTGTAGAGAAATCTTAATATAAATTAGGTGTAAGAGGCATTTCCAGGAAAGTTATACAATTTTTCCGACGTGTAAATAGACGACTTGATTAATAAAAAATCAGTATATTAATTTGTAAGTGATTTATAAGTATACCGAGTACTCGTAGACTTAGAGCATCATAATATAAAAAACTTTTGGAAATTATTCAATTGTGTACAAATTTTCCAAACACGTTATAATCATTTTTGAAAAATTAATAAAATATTTAAATAATTGAAAAACAAACACGCGCCAAATACGTACACAGAGTATTTTCTAAAACAACGTCTCAATATTCCAAGATTTAATTATTTTTTATAATTAAACAAATTGTCATCGGTTTCTAATATTACTGGAGGTTTATTTAGTCCAAATTTAATAAAATGATCGATATGTTTTATTCAACAATTAGTAGCAAAAGAAACAATTTGGACGATCTTTATCAATAACTAATCAACTATTTTTTCTACTAATCAGCACGATTTCCAACTAATATCTTTTGAATAGTTTTTGAATTTTTGAAACCGGTTTAGGATTTTTTGTGGACGAAAAATTTTGGAGTTTAATGGATGTTACAATTTTAAAATATTTTCAGTATCTTTTGAGAAAGCTTTGACAAAAGACTAAAATAGTACAAACGTTTCAGAATAACTTGAACCAATAATAACTTCCATAAAATCGCATGATTATAACATTCAATCATTAAACTTTGTTTTTGGAATTGAATAATGCATATAATTATTTGGAAATTCTAAATAAGTGAGGCACTTGAGAAAAGGTAGATCAAAGACAAAAAATTGACTTACATACACTTTTTTACTTCCCGTGGGGTAGTTATAGTAATGGGCCGAAAATCGAAAATGAAAATTTTTGCATTTCTCGACGTTTTGTGAGTGTGTTTTGTATGTCCGCATTTTTTCGTCCTCGTTTTCGGGCGCACGGTTCAACCGATTTGAATGGTTTAAAAAACATTCGATTCTTATAAATAGGGAGATGTGCTGATTAGTTTTTGGCAAAAGCAGGTCCGCAGAAAATAGAAATCGAGTTTTTGAGAGAACGGACCATCCGATTTGTATGATCCAAAAATCGTAAATGACGGGGAAAAATGGTTATTAGTTTTCGGCAAAGGGAGACCCAGCGGTTTCGGAGATACAGTGCTAAATGTTAAAAAATGGCAGTTTTTGAGAGAACTAAGCGTCCGATTTAAATGATTCAAAGAACTTTCTGCTTGTTCCAACAAAATAATTGTTGAAAAAAAAATTGTTTCTAATTTTTTTTTTCAAAAAATATTTTTGTAATTTTGGATTAAAAATTCAAAAAATCACCCAGGCTAAGCACAGTCTAAGCGCGTCTCTGGTGCAAATGTTTACCCAAGTGTGTTTAGACTGTTTATGTACTGGAGCACTTTTCCAATTTTGTGAAAACTATTGAAAAATGTGAAAATGCCGCCAAGTCAAGCACTGTGACTTTTTCAATTTTGTGTAAATTAGGCAACTATTTTTTTTTTTGGAAATTGATTTCGAAATGAAATGACGATTGTTAATGTTCTGGAGATAAATTTATTTATGATTTTACATTTGATTTGCCCATATATAACAAGATAGCAAAAATAATGAAAGTTACAGTATTTTTAATAATATATATTTGAAAACGTTTAAAATTTCTCGAATATATCATTACGGTACGGAAAGTTCCAGCAATTTGCCTCAAGGCACGATACCATACACCACTAGTTTATACTAAATTTGGTTTCAAACGTTTTAAAATATCTAGAAACGCCAAAAAAGCACAAAGTTAGCAAATCGGATTTTTTGACAAAAACATACTTTGTGTGACTCCTTTGTGAAATTGATTATAAAGCGCGGTAATAAAAATTTATATGTCGTACCAAAAAAATTTATACAAAATCGATCAAGGAATTTAAGGTACTAATTTAACACGATTCCTTAGACGATTATGATTATACAT